CAGAGGAGGGCAACGTTTTATATATTTCTGTTTATTCTTCATTTTTGTTCACACAGTGTTTTGCTCTCAGATGAATGAGGTTTTGTTCCTAATTTGATTTTCCCTTTAAATATGAGTATTTTGCTGCATGGGTAAAGAATATACCATTTCATTGCATATACCAAGAAGCATACGATTTAGGAACCCCAGTTTTATCCTCTCTGGTGCAGCTGTTGGGTGCTCATATAACCCCCTAATCCTTTATAAAAACTTAATCGGACAGCTGCCTTGATAATCCACAGTCTCAATAACAGCCTCTGTTGAGGAAAATAATATCCCATTGTAGTAAGTCTCACAGATGAATGATGTATCTCTGCAAAGAAATGCTGAATGGACAGGAGTCCCCTAAACTGGGAATCGAGCTAAATGCTGAAAAAAAAAATCACCTTTAAAAATTTCTGCCGTGAGATGGAATTATAATCTTTGGATTTAGCAACTGCTGGTATCTTTGTTATATGAGTGGTTTAATTAGACTGTTTCAGTGTAGTGGAAGAGCTCTTTAAAGGACTTTTAACAAGGATACTATTGTTAAAGGAAAACAGCTCTTTCATTGGAGCCATTAAAATTATAGGAAGAAAAATGAAAAATCACCCCTGGCAGCATATTTTTGAGTCCGGCTGTGACTTCTCCAGCTTAATCACCAAAAAACTCTGCAACGCACTCCTTGTTTACACAGCAGTTTGATCTGGATTCTTGTAAAATTAACATAGGTTGACAAATTAAATTGAACACCACCACCCTCCAGGACATAAAATGTAAAGGAGATTAAAACAAACATGGGGAATGTTTCTGTAATCACTCAGTGTAGAGTCAGATCCAGTAAAACAAAAATCTTGCTTGTGAATATAATTGGGTGCAGAGTATCAGCCCATAGTTGATATTAATTACTTTATATATGTACCTACATCATTTTTCATACACCACTAAAAGAGATGTCTTTGTTTCCCCACCGATTTTTTTTTTTTTACCAGAATTTACTAGAGACATCTACTTAGTTCTCAAGTTAAGCAGTTCAGTGGTTTTGCACTATCACAGTTTAAAATCTCTCTCAAGAATTCATGAAATAAGGATCTTACATTGTCGGTGGTTAATTACATTAGAAAATTCAGTCTCTTTGAACTTATCCTCAAAAGGGATTTTTCTTGTAAATGAAAAAGACTCACAGGTAATCTGAAACGTATGTCTCAATAGAATTTGACAGGAAATACTCCTCAGCCTTGTCCAAGTTTATTTAGAAGTACAAATAAAAAGACTCCAAAATTTTAAATGAGAAACTCATGTTTGAATCCTGACTTTGAAAGAAAAGGAAATAGATATTATGTTAATGTAATTACTCTAACACCAACATTCTGTTTTGCCAACTGCTCAATGTAACCAGGGAAGTGAGGTGAGCATAAAGAGACACATGGCTGCTCAGCTAGGGCCTCACAAAGTCACCAAGCAAAGTGGGCTTTTGTCATTCTTGCCTACCCTGTCTTCCTATTGCAGGGAATCCTGATAAGGAGACCCAAGCCCGGAGGGCCCGCTGTTTCCTCCCCCAGTTCCCTGGCAGTTCAGGCCACCAGCTGCATCTGCCAGAGACTTTGAGCTTGGCTGAGGAATGCAGATGTGCGGGAGGTCTTCCCAGATGATGGCCAGTGCCCCTGAGGGAGGGGGGCGTCCAGCTGTGGCCAGTGGAACCATAGCAGGTGGGTGTGACAGCCTCTGGACTGTTCTGTGATGCCATCTTGGCTCTCTTATCATCCACGTCTCCTCCTGTGTTGCTCTCCAGCCTTCCTACCCATTCTGTCAACAATGTGACAGCCTTCCAATAAATTCCTTTCCTGCTTAAAGCAGAGTTAGCGTCTGTCTGTGGAACCAAGCACCCTGACTACGAGGTTAATTCCAGCAATTTAGGACCAGAAATTCCAGTGTGCCCCCAGGTTAGTGAGCTTATGTCATTAATGTTATTTAGATAAACTCTTCCTCACTCCAAATAAGATTTGAAATTACACAGAAAAGCACAAACCAACAAGACAAAAAAATAATAGAAATAGGAGGAAGGAAAAATAAAGGTGTTGGTATGAGCCAGGTTGCTCATGCACTACTTTATCATGAGAAATGGAACTTGTAGGCAATTCAGAGCCCTCAGTTCACCTGGGTCCTCACACTCTCTTCCCTGCCGGAAACCCTTTCTGGGAAAGCCAAAACAGCCAGAGGCTTCCATGGGGAGGGCGAGGAATATGGAGTCTAAGCAAAGGAAATGGGGCTATCTTCGGGGGCGGGTCACAAACCACAGTCCCAGGGCTCCTCTGTCCTGCCCTTGCTATCGCCGATGAGTTCCTGCTTTGGCCTCTGCAGTGTCTTTTAAGTCTCTTCTTTTAAAATGGAAATATATTTGGAAGAGATAATATATTGTCATTTACTTTAGCCAAGTGTTTCCCAAACTTCAGTCATTCATGTCCTCTCTTTACAGTCTTGCCATATTCAAATACTATTTCTTTTTTTTTTTTTTTTAAGATTTTATTTATTTGACAGAGAGACAGCGAGTACAGATAAACAGAGCGGCAGGCAGAGGGAGAGGGAGAAGCAGGCTCTCCGCGGAGCAGGAAGCCCGACGTGGGGCTCAATCCCAGGACCCTGAGATCATGACCTGAGCCAAAGGCAGCCGCTTAACCAGCTAAGCCACCCAGGCGCCCCTATTTCTTTTTTTTCTAAGTACCTCCAAAACTTTTGTTCTAAATAATATACGTGAATGTGAAAGCTTGTTATGCTATATATTTTTTAATACTCATGGCAATAAACCTATAGAATTAAAGTGATTATACATCATCTTGCATGCTACGGAAAGTTTATTAAGTGAACTAGGATTCCATCCTTGTTTAAAAAGTTGTGCATGGAAGTTAAAATTTTGCAATCCTTACCTTACCTACCAAAAATGTCTATATTTTACTCTAACCTTGCATTTATAGTTTGGCTAGGTGCGGAATTTTGGGTTGAAATCATGTCCTCTCAGATCTTTGAAGGCATTTCCCCAACACCTTCGAGCACCCATCGGCGATGTTGTGAGAGGTCAGAAGCTGGTCTAATTCACAGTCTTGTTTGTTCCTTTTTTTCCTCTCTGAAAGTTCTTTTATTCCTTTTATCTTTGGCATTCTAAAATATCACAGGTTGCTTTGTTGTTTTGGGTTTTTGTTTGTTTGTTTCTTTGTTTCACTGGGGTTTTTTTGTTTGTTTTTAAATTCATTTTGCTATACATGAGCTCTTTTAACCTAAGCATTGTGACTTCTGAGCACTAAGATTCTACTTTTGGATATTTTTTCCCCTTCAATTTTCTGTGCTGTTTCTGGGACACCTATTAGTTAGATGTGGGACTTCCTGGATTGGGTCTCAGTGTTTCGTGCCTGAATCAGTCAGAGTTTGATCAGGAAAACAAAAGCCTTTCTGTGTGTTTTCAGTAAGAAATGTTTTAATACAAGGAAAAAACATTGGAAAGGCCGGAAGAGGGCAAGTTTCTTGAACTGTTACTGACTAGCTCAGTGTGCAATCCCAGCAGTGATGTTCACCTTGCAGCTGCTTCAGACCTCGTAGGCATCTTCCGCCTGTGTGTCTGATGACCACTGCTCTGGGGAACAACGCCTCTATTGTTCCACCTTCCAAATTACAGATACCCCCTGCAGGCTCTAACCTGAAACGTGGGGCGGCGGGGGACAGTCTGGGAGATGCAGGTCCTGCTTCTTTGTGATGCAGAGAGGTCCTTAGCAGGGGCAGCAGACATGCCAAGGTGACAGAGACAATCCAGCACAGTGACCCTGGCTCTGTGCAAATTCTAAATGCACCACATACTAGCTGTGACCTGGGGGGAAAGTTCCTAATTGCTTAAGGCCTTCTTCATCTCTCCCATTGTAAAGAGAGGGAATGATATTACTAGCTACCTCACAGATTTTCTGGGAGGACTGATTGAAATAATGCATGGAGAGGGTATAAATCAGTGCCTGGCACATATTCAAGTGCTTTTAGTATATGTTGGCTATCTAATTTTCGTTATTACTATTTAATTACTGTTTACCTTACATTTCCACCAATGTCATTTTGCTCTAAATTTTGAAAAAAACTTCTTCAACATGGTTTTCCAGACTATCCATTTTTTTTATAACAGTAATAATTTTAATCACTAAGGAAAATGTATTTAGATTGTTCTTTTTTTTGGTAACATCTTCTTCTCTGAGTTTATTCTTTTTTAAAACATGCTTTTTTTTTTTTTAAGATTTTATTTATTTGACAGAGAGAGACACAGCGACAGAGGGAACACAAGTAGGGGGAGTGGGAGAGGGAGAAGCAGGCTTCCCGCCGAGCAGGGAGCCCGATGCGGGGCTCGATCCCAGGACCCTGGGATCATGACCCCAGCCGAAGGCAGACACTTAACGACTGAGCCACCCAGGTGCCCCTAAAACATGTTTTTATTTTTTTAAGATTTTATTTATTTATTTGAGATAGAGGGAAAGCAGGGGGTGAGGGAGGGAGAGAGTGAAGCAGGCTCCCCACTGAGCAGGGAGCCCCACGCGGGACTCAATCCCAGGACCCCGGGATCATGACCTGAGCCGAAGGCAGATGCTAAACTGACTGAGCCACCCAGGGGCCCCAAAACATGCTTTTCTTTTAATAAGGTCTTGGGAAGATGAAGAGGTAAAACCTTGGGTCTGTCTAGTTTGTCATTTTGCGCAGAAGCTGACTGCATTGGATCAAGAGGCTCGGTGGCAGTGGTTATTCTGCAAGCGGTGTGCCAAGCGCGTCACTTTCATACTCTCACCCAATTCGGCTCAATCCTAAAACACAGGTGGTAGTATTGTCCTCGCTTCTAAAGATGAGATAACTGAGGCTTACAGAGGTCAAATGACTCACCCAGGTCACACAGCTCGTAACTGGTAGACATACATGTAATCACGGATCTATTGGTGACAGAGTTCAAGCTCTGAACCCGGGCTGCTAGATGGAGCTCATCCTAGGAGATTGCGGCCCAGTATCCTCGTGCATGCGCATGTCTCTTTGTGGCTTCCACCCGCCCTTGGCAAAATTTGCAGGTATAAACAAGCCTTACGTAGATACATGTGTACTATGGGAAATTTTTAATGCACTCTTCTATTATTGTCTAACAGCAAGTCCTAGCAGTGAATTTGCTAAGTCAGAAATTACCCACCGTGAGACATTTTTATGTGGTTTGACAAGCTGCCCTTAAGAAAGGAGGTTGCAGCATTTCGCATTTGTTATCATCTCCGTGTGTGAAAGCACCTGTTTGCCACCTGCTCACCGATGGCTGGTGTTACCCAAATTTTGCCAATCTCATAAAAAGGAAATGTTATCTCACCATTTAGATTTGCTTTATTTCATTTTTAGTGTGGCTAGACAGCTCTTCAAATGATTATAGGTCATTTATCTTTCTTCTTTTGAGAACTGTCAGTTCATTTTCTGCTCAGCTTTCTACTGGGATATTGCCTCTAGCTGGGATGGATTTGCAAGTTCTCTTCAGGGATAGCAAACTTTTGCCTGTTATTTATGTTGCAAATATACTTTCCTGTTCGCCATTTCTATTTTTACCTTTCCGTATGGTATTTGTAAAAGGAGTTTTAAGTATTTGGGTAGTCAAATCTATCCTAATTAACTCTTACATATATTCTTTCCTTCAGTGGATGAAAGAATGAAACCAACATGTGAGTTGATCCATTAGGAGTGTGACTTCCCATCTGAGTTTCTAAAAGAATCAGACAACTCCACAACACGCTGGCCCAGCTTCAGGTAGTAGGTGCGCTGTTTAAGATGGTGAAAATTTTCACTTACACACTAAAGATTTACCTAAGCCAACTTAAGAAAACTCAGAAGGATTTCCAGCTACTAAGCTTACCCTTCCAGCTTACCTCCTGCTTCAGCTGAGTGGTGCTAAAGTCGGACTTGGAGTTCGGATGGTAATGGAGGCTGTTGGGATGGGTGTGGGTAAGTCATCCCTATCCTTTAACCCTGAGCTTCCAAACTGGTACGAGCTGCTGACATCAGAAGACTTCTCTGTTATTTCTCCAGTGTTTTGTTCTTTGTCTCTGTTTCAGGTTGCTCCCAGGATAGATGAAATTCAAGTCATAACTGACTAGAGATCAGATTTATAACAAGACAGTTCACCAGGCAAAGGTTCCCGGGGTTTGGGAGAGCATGTGAGGTCTGGGCTGCAGAGAACGATTCTAAATTAAAGCTCCAAGTTCAAGGAATGTGAATGAGGCACTGACTCTATTTCAGGGTGAGGTTTTAATTCTCCCTGTTCTGCCTTTTCAATTAGAGGGATCTCTCTGAACCCTCCCCCTACCTTCCTTCTCCAGGGAATCAAATCTTCCTTAGTCATGGCCACCACAACTATCTTAACTCTTATATTTTCTCTTTCTTAGGATAGTTGGCTCATCTGCCCATCTGCTCTACAAGATATTGGTCTTCCTCTGGGCAAAACTGTGAGCTACTCGTTTCTGTATCTAGAGCACTTAGCAGAGCGTCAAGCATATATTAGGCACTCTATAAATGTCTTTTTATTGTATCTGTGTTAGAACAATAGAAAATATTTGATTCCAACCTGCTGTTATGACCTTGGCTTGGGGCAATTGGGAATTAATAACTTCTGATATAAGTTGATATGAAAAATAGCAGTATCCCAGTGGGAATTATGTCAGACAGTCATTCAAAGAGGAAAAATCGTGACCCTCAAATAATCCCTTTAGGGGAACAGCCAAAGACTGAGCATAACTAGACATGGTCAGAGAGTCTGTCCGCAGAATAGGAGAAAAAAATATGTCTGGAGACTGGGCTAAGCACACAGTGTAACCAAATAATGCTTCAGCCATTGTATCCGTTGATCAGTTTACTCAAATTTCATTGGTTAATCTTACTTAACAAATCATGTAAAATAAGATAGTTATGAGATATAAATTTGGCATGCCACAAGTTACTTGAAGACATATGAAGTTCAATATAATTAACTGACCCTGAGATTCGTGTAGACATCTCAGAAGAATGTTTTACATGCCAAAGCTTCTTGTAGTGCGCCTTTTCTAAAAATGATCAAAATGCATTGCAGCAATTTTAGAGAAGGGCTATGCTATCAATAGAAGTCCTTTAAGCCCATGTTTTGGACAAACATTTGCTAATTAATTCCAGAAATTAAACAAGTACCTAGATTTTTTGTAACCTACATCCAGGAATAGTTTAAAGATTTTTCTTTCTGCAAAACTGATCTAATGTCTTTCTCATATCAAAATTCTTTCCATGCATTGCACACACACACACAACTTGTAAATTATTTTAGGTTTACTGCAATTACATCAAAACACTTGGTGCCCCCAAATGCCTGAAGATTTATAGCATGAAAATTTCCTCTGTTGAAAATGCTGCCTATTTGCCTTGCAGACTAGTGGGCAGTAAAAACATGGGATTATTAGGAACAGTCTCTTAATTTTCTGCAAAGTCTCTACTGGATAAGCCCCTCCTTACCTTCACTGTCTGGCAGAGTGATGGGCACAGATAGAACACTTATGGACTCTGACTCCCTTCACTGTGTGCTGAGTGAGGACTAAGGGTAGATGTATGAATGGCCAGATGGCTTTTGGAAAGTAGGAAAACAGGGCTTTCTATTGCTCCTGAAACACTTTTTCTCCTACTAGAAGACTGACAAGGCTGGAGAATCCAGCCCAATACTGGGAATTCAGTTCAGTTCAAGAAGTGACGGTGTGCTCCCGGACTCTATAGAAGGAGCTGTGACAGTACTTACTGGTGCTTGGTCACTTGGTTATCAGCATTAGAGAATGTATGAGACTGTCCCATGGGAGTACACTGAGGTCTGTTTTTGAGCTACATTTGACATTGATAATGTTTCTTGGAATCGCGGGCCATTTTGGTTCTCTGGCCTCATTAAGGGTTGGTATACTGTTGAATCATAAGCTTATTTTCTTCCTAACCTGCCTTAACTGAATGTATTTGGTGGGTAACCCAAGGGTGAATTTTAGTGGTTGGTTGGTTGCTTTGTGGCTTCTGAAAAGTGAGCCTAGCTAATATGATTGTGGACAGTATCAACTATGCATTACTGTGTTACCCATCCCTTTCCCCAAGAGACTACCTGAGAAGAAGCCAATTAGATATTGGAAATAGAGTCAAAACGGAGAAGTATGAAAACTCAGTAACATACAAATGGAGAAGTGTGAAAAGTCACTTGAAGAACCTGCCAGGAAATCAGTCTATTCTTACTGAATTCATGATGTTCCCCATCACTCCAAAAATTACCAGAGATCCCTGGGTGATAGTAACTAATATTGTCTTTCCCTCTCTCATCTTTAAAAAGGGACAAAAAAAAAATGGATAGCAAAGTGATGCAACCTCTGAATGCTGCCAAGACATGAGACCATTGTTGCCTCATTTCTTTCAGTGCTTTTTTTGTGGGGCCAGAAGTTCCTAGCCATGACTTGTGAATATGGTTCTGCAGGGCCTTAGAGCTCCCTGGGCATGGGTCTGAAGTGATAAGTAGACCCGCGTGGGCTGTGATGCTACACACTTTCTTACTAGCACTTCCAGTCCTGCCTTGGTGCTTGGTGAGATTAGCAGTTTCCTTTGAACGGTACTGCCCTGGGCTGCTTTCCCATTGTCACAGTGAGCAAGCATTATACTTTCCTTTTTGTGGGAGAAGTAGAGCAGAGAGGAGTGAAATAACCCCAGGGGTGAAAAATAAAAATTATCCACGTTGGACTGGAACGTCATAATTCTGTCAGTCATCCTGATGACCATTCATTTCTGCAGAATATAAAAGGGAAACCAGAGTCTCTCCCAGGAAAACTGCCTTTTGAGTTCAAGCCCTCAGGGAAGATCTTTGATGCATTGTTCTTCTTCCTTGTTGTGCCTTCTCTTCATTACAAATAGCCTTTCATGAAGCTTACAAGAAGGGACATGAGCACCAGCACCCAGTGAGCAACCCCCTAGGTGAGTAACCCTGGGCAGGGCAGCTGGGAGGCAGCAGCTCAGGGAGGGGCAGGAGGACACAAATGGTCTCAGGATCCAAAGCAAACTTGCAGCTCTTCCAGAGCCCTTGACCACTGTTTTGTGAACTTAAGAGGAGGTGCAGATCTGTCCCTCACTCTTCCGCCTTTTGCTTATGATGTCGCCAACACATACAGTTCCACTGGACACACTGCCATGTTCCTGTAACCTTGGGCAAGTCACGTCACCTTTAAGGGCTTTTGTTTATTTATAGAGGGAGGATAATAGTCCGGACTGGCGGCTCGCTGGAGCTCCCATCTGTGATACACAGGGGTGGCAAAGCTGAGCGTCACTGTCAGGGTTGGCGCGGGACGGAACTCAGAGGCGGTTGCCTCCATTTTCCAGCTGCGTGGGCTCCTTCTCCAGAAAAGATCGATGCCCACCTTCTCCAATCTTATAACAGCCTTGGGCTTTCATTCTTGAGATCTTTTTAGCAGTTTCTTATTCCCACAGTTCATTTACCTAAGAGATAGCGAAAGTGGCTCAAGAGAGATAACATCCATTTGTGTATTTTCTTTTTAAAAGAACTGTTGATCCGGCGCCTGGGTGGCTCAGTTGGTTAAGCGACTGCCTTCGGCTCAGGTCATGATCCTGGAGTCCCTGGATCGAGTCCCGCATCGGGCTCCCTGCTTGGCG